TTTCGCTGTCGTCATGCAGTCGTTATAATGCAAATTTTAAATTGGACCAATCAGTGTTGGCTATTCATGACAGTCCGCTATATTATGAGATCAGTGAGAATGACCACCCACCGAAACTTCGTTGGTGACCCACGCCCGCGATAATTGATGAACTTTAGACTCCTCTAATGCTTTCGTTTCCCCGGGTGTAAATAGCCGGGGGGAATTAGTACCCTCGCACGGCGCTTCGCGCCGTCGGCTCGGGGAATATTGACAAGGTGCATGTATTAGAATTTAGTTAGGAATATCTCCTGGTAAAGTGCGCGATTTTCTGCTCCTGGGAATTAAAAACAGCTTCTTAAATAGTTTCTTTATGCATAAAATTTACTTATGTCAATCATTTATGCACTCGTGGGAACCAACAGAGCGCTAAGGCATTCAAATTCTAACAATTAAATTGTTATTGGTGATTTCAATAGTTTTCGTTTTTTGGGGGACACCCTGTATACTGCTGTTACGTTTATTGTTCACAGCTGCGCTTTGCAATATTACTGTTAAAACCAACAAAAATTGAATACTATATAATTTACGATGGTTTGAATTAATTTAAAATAATCACAAGGGAAAAAATCTGAGAGTTTGAGCATTGCTAAATACCAAAATTCTGGGCATCTACACTGGATATTGCTATTTCTAGATATGCTTTGTGGATGGAAATGTCGAGTGTGAAATTTCCCACAATCGAATTTCTATCTACAAAACCCTTCTACAAGAGTTCGAGTATGCCTGTTCACATAAGTAAGTTTTTAGCTGGCCTGTTAAAACGGGGACGTTATATGCCTTCCGCAATTGGAGAGGTAGCTTGTTCCAGAGACTAAGGCGATAGAAAAGGCTCTGCGCACTTATGTTAATGTTTTTTTATCATGACTGAGGAGTTCTTCCATGCAAGACCAGAGCAAGCGGACATATAGCAACGTTGAGTGACAAGGTCTAGAACAGATATGTAATTATGCACATATATCCTTGCTATATATATACAAAATATGCATTAATTCCTATTTATAAATTGTGCTTTACCTTCTCGGTTAGACTTAAAGATGACGATGTTGGTGCAGCAGAAGTAGACATGGTTGGCCCAACGACCGAGCCAACAGAATACCCACATCCTAACAACCCGATGATTAGTTTCGTAGATTTACCCGGGATCGGTACGCCGAACTATCCTGATCTTCCTACCTACTGTGAGAAAGTTTGCTTCGAACGTTACGATACCTTCCTTATTTTCACTGCAAATCGTTTTAGACAAAGTGACTTAGAACTGGCAAAAAAAAGTGAAATCCATTGGCAAGTCGTTCTTTTTTATTCGCACAAACATCGATGTCGACTGCGCGTCTAAAGATGGAAAAGCAATTAAAGAAGCAGACATTTTGGAAAAGATTAGAGAAAATTGCATTCAAGACGTGAAAGATTTAATATCCAGTGAGAAAGAAATTTTCCTGATTAGCAACTACCATAAAGACAAATGGGACTTCGACCGTCTAATTGCAGGCATCAGCAACGCCTTGCCCGTTCTTCAAAGAAAGTGTTTAACACTATCCTTATCAAATTTAACGCGTGAATGTTTGAAGAGAAAGGCGAAGTTTTTCAAGGGTAAGGACTGTTTTAATTTTATATACATGTCCAACTATACGCATCTTGTGCAAGGGACAAATAGAAAAGTCAAATTGACATTTTATTTGTTTATTGGACGAATGGCTATTCAATACCTGGGGAGAGTTTCTTGAAAGTCCTTAATATTCTCTTATATTATACTACTAATAATTGAGAATAGTATAACTTAATACCTTGATTATTTCTATTTAACAAATCTAGCTCAAGCTGGTGCCGTGGCAGCCATTTCAGCAGCGACTGGTGCAATTCTAATTCCTGGAGTCGGAGGTGCTATTGTGGTTGCACTTATTGGAGGTACAATCGCAGTGTATTACCGACAATTTGGCTTCAACAACACAACACCTGAAGAACTGGACGTGTTGGATAAAAAATATAGGGAGATTATTGAAACATATCAGTTCACCGCAGGAAGCATATCGTTTGCTTTCACATTGCGTTACCTTTTGCGTTCTATAAATGAACTGGAAGAAGTTGCCATGACTGTCTGGGATAACGCAGCGAAACGATCAGTTAGAGACGGCACAGATAATTCACAACCACAAAGATATGATGAATAAATGTTTTCTACCAGTTTTTAATGCTTAAGTTTCAACAATCCGTCTTCAATACACTGTTTCGATAGTTACTATTTACTTTTCGATAGGGAACTAGCCTCTCTGGGTTTGGGAGAGGCGATGAAAAACGGGGGGAAAATTTTAGGGGGGACGAGAGGAAGAGCCTGCCGTAGTGCCCCGGTATTTGTTATGTTTTGCGGCCGTGCGAAGCCGTATAGAATCCTGTTGGCTTATTGGTGTAATATATGCAAATTTATTTCACCGGAAGTATTTTGAGTAGTTGGAAAATAATTTTAGAAATGGGTGTCTCTTGTACCGGGAAATATAAACAACAGTTTAGAATCCAGAATAAGGGCGATATTTTGGGCGATATTTCGATATTTTGATTTATCGCGATATTTTCAATCGCGATTATGATATCGAAGGTAGAAACTTGAGGGACGATATATCGAAATTATCGTCATGATAGATAGATAAAACTTTATTTAAACACGCTAACCCCTTCAGCTTTTGCTGATTTTCCAAGGGGGCATGATGATAAAATATATACAATATTTACATATCAAATTATACAGTTAGATAAATAGAGATATAATAGTAGATTTAAGACTGCAGGCTAGTATCAGAAATCAACGAGTTGAATAGATTTAATGAATCTGCACTTTTTAACTCGCATGGTAAGCTGTTCTAGAGTTTTGCTCCACAATACCGGATGCTATTTTTCAAGTATTCTGTTTTAGGTTTTGGTAAGTAAAACTTTGAAATCATGGTCTCTTAAATTGTAATTATGTTGAAGAGCAGATAAGTCTTCAAAGATATCGACTAAAACAGGTGGTGCTTGCGCATGAGAATTTTATACATAAACTTGGCCCTAAAGATTAATCTGCGTTCTTTTAACGTTTTCAGTTGCAATTCAGACAAAGCGGCTTCAGACTGACTATGCTCATTTCTATATCCTAATTAAGATGACCCTTGCTGCCCTATTTTGGAGTACTAAAATTAGGACTGTTCGGTATACCGATATACCGAAAATATCGGTATTAAATCAATATCGGTATATCGATACCGGATATTCAACCATACCGATATACCGAAATTTCGGATTTGCCGGAATTTTTCGGTATACCGTGTTAAATTTACCAACTATATGGCGAAACCATAAGCTTTATTTTACTCTGAATGGCAATAAAAAGAACTTTCTACTGCAATGATTTAGTATTTCCACTTCAGTGAGATTTTACACTGAGTACGTGCATGTCGTTCGAAACAGCTTCGAAATTATCGTTTTCCCTTTTAGAATTACTCAATATTTCCTTCAAACTTCCACTAAAGAATTTTCCTTTATAATTATCAAAGGAAAACCGGTATACCGATAATAATTAAAAGTCTTCCCTTCGTTGCCAAAGTTCGATGAAAGATAGGATACGACGTCGCCAAATATCGATCAAAATTCATGATCAGAAGAGCGAGCAAAGAAAAAATAAGGAACGTATTTGCTAAAAATCCGGAAATATGCACCCAGCTTTCATATGTACCCAATTTCCCAGTCAACCAAAGCATCGCCATAAAAGCCGACAATGGATGATTAGTTGAAGCCGCAGCCCACCAAGCAGCCCACAAGCAAGTCGCAACACAGGACAAAACCATTATCATGAAATAACATAATTTTTTTCGAAGTTGCACAGATGTCCTGGGGCCGGTTGTATAAAACTCTTAATCACTTTTTTAATCACTATTTTGTAGTTAAATAGTGATTAACTCTCAAATGGGCGCTTTTTATTGGATGACATTTCCACTTAACTATGATTAACTTTAATCACTTTTTTATACAACCGGCCTCAGATGGTGATTATAAGCAGGGGCGTAAGAAATGATCCAGTCGGTCTCAAACTACGTGCAGTCGGTCGAGCAGTCGGTCTCAAAATTATGCGTTTGTTTACATGCAGTGCTTTGCGAAGCAAATTAAATATTCTCGAAACTCGAGATTGACTCAGACTATTGAGTATTGAGTTGAAAATTTTCTCAAACAGAAATAATATGAAGAAATGTTTACGTACTTACTTCGCGAGTTTATGAACGAATTATCAGTCAAAACACGCGCCAGGGGATGAAGTTTCCATTTACTTTCCAAACATGGAGATATCTATATATGTCACGATTATGTGTTGGCACTTTTATTTGGAATTTAGGTTCTGCAAGGTCATTCACGGGTGATATTGATCTATATTAGCGAAAATTTCAAACCCCCAAAATAAGACTCCAAAATGCGATGAATCTCGATCAAAATAGCTAACATTAGTTACTATATTTCTCCGGTCCCTAAACTATATTTTTAAGATGCAAAGTGCCAAAACGAATTTCTAGCTGAGTTATATTAGGAAGTATATGTTCACATGGAACACGATATGCATATGCATTTCGTTACCAAAGAGTTTTATGTGCCAACTGCAATCAAGAAATTCGATCAGTGAACAACGCACTGGTTTATCTGAAATCACGTTTGTCATTGTTTCCACTGACTAGGCGATGTTTCCAATGGTTGCTTACAGTCAGGCCCATCCATAACTAGGTATATGAGTCAATCGAGTTCAAGTTCAATGACAGACAGTAGTTCTCTCTATGTAAAGAAGCATTATTCTTGCCCTACATTGACGTAAGAAATGGGAGGCTGTGTGGGTGCACAAGTACCCCAATAACAAAAGTGCGGGCCAGCGCCCAAATATTACAACAATTGAGCACAAACACTTTATTATTATGCACCTGATCAATGATGTTCGACCAAAAATATTTGTAATTCTTAGCCTCAGGATTGGGGGCAAACTACAGTATAAATTATAGTCATTGTGTCACTGTTTATGAAATTGATATTTCGTTTGAACTGCTCCCAGAATGCAGGAAATAGCGTTTCTAAGCCTTTATAGAAAATCAAAAATTTTCTGGGGGAGCATGCCCCCAGACCCCCCCCCCCAGAAGTGTCTCGGTCAATCAAAAATCCTATAGTTACGCGCCTGACAGTTCCTGTAACATCCGCATCAGCCGAGCGCAGCTTCTCAAAGCTGAAATCAGTGAAAACTGTTATGCTTTCAGTAATGAACCAGGGATGCCTTGGTGAACTCTTGACTCTTGCGTGTGAGCACGATCTAACAGACACGATTGATCTTCAGACGAAATCGCTAATCCGTGGGCAAACCTGACTATAAGCGCGGACACTTAATTAATAAAAGTATAACGTTTCACAGCAAACTGTACGTGTTCTTGCAATATTCTTAATAAATGACATCAATTTCCATGCTTTGTACTCAATTTTATTGCAACTCACCAAGAGTCGGTCTGGATTCACATTTCAGCGGTGGGTCGGTCTCATTTCGTGATTACACCCTCCCAGTCAAAATCGATATGTCCGCCCCTGATTATAAGTCTTATAACCACGGAATTTAAGCATATTCCTGAAAAAAGAACAATGCGTTCACAGCAAATATGAATATCATGCCGATAAAATAGCTTTGCCCCATCGTGTAACTTTGCCTGCAGTGGCGGAAATTCACTTTTTCCGGGGGGGGCGAAGCCTTCTAAATTTCAGACAAAACTTTCAAATTTCCGACAAACCCATGCCCCCCCCCCCCAATTGGCACTCGAAAAGGTTGTTTTTGGCCCTCTTTTAGGTCAAAATTTCCGAAAATTCGTCATTTTCCACGATGGTGGGGGGGGGGAGGCAGGCCCGCCCCTGACCCACCGAGATTTCCGCCACTATTTGCCTGAAAAGCTGAATAGAAGAAGTAAGACAGCAGATGGTATTCGTAGAATGACATTTTTGAAGTATATATACGACAACTACACATACAAATAATTCATTAACACGAGTACACTTTCACTAAAATATTTTATTAAACACTAAATATTGTCTTGCCATGCGACAGGATCCTACTTCTCGATTAACATTTGATCCTAAAAATATATCTAACATCTTGAATAAACATTTTGCTACATGTGAACAACGATTAGCTGCTAAAATGCCACATTCTGAAAAACATTCTGATTACCGTCAACATACAAATAGCCTTAACTATACATATCTCAACTAGATTCATTTGTTTTCATTCCGATAACTGAAAGAGATATTGAACTTGAAATTATCACACTACCAACCAAAAAAGCTGAGGGTTTATACTCATGCCCTTCGAGGATTATTAAATGTGCAAAACCCATTCTGAGCAAACCTTTGGCAGATATTTTTAATCGGTCGATTGAAACTGGAATTTATCCTAATACTCAAAATTGCGAAAATAATTCCAATTTACAAAGCGGAGGATGAAACTGAACCGAATAATTACTGACCCATATCCCTTTATCGGTATTTTAATAATTTTTTTGAAAAAATCATGTATAAACGTTTAGACAAATACCTAAATATGAAAAATATCTTGTGTCCCTCACAATATGGTTTCCGCGTCAACAACATTCTACACAACATGCCATTCTCGACATTGTTAACAAAATCCAAACTAACATGGATAATCAGAAACTTTATTCCTGCGGTATATTTATAGACTTGAAGAAAACCTTTGATACGGTAGACCACGATATACTGTACATGTTGGGTAAATTAAATCATTACGGTATTAGGGGAGTGGTAAATGACTGGTTCTCTTCCTACTTAAAACACCGCTCTCAAACAACTCTTTTGGAAACTGTGTATCTGACAGAGAAACCACTTTGTGTGGAGTACCTCAAGGAGGTAAGTCTTGGGCCTCTATGTTATGAATTGTTAATAATTGACATTTATGATATACGGGTGTAAAGTGGGTGGAGTTTTCTATGTAACAAAATGATTCATATATTTTTCAAGTAAACTAGTTGTGTGCTTCAAACCAGCGCGTATTTGTGATTTAAGAGAGAGATTTATAGACATTACAATACATTTGGTCCTTCGAACCCGAAGCAAATTACAGTCGGCCGACATGGATGTCGGAAAATCAAGAAAAATTCGAGAAGGACACAGACAA